CATAAGTAAAATGCTGCCTCGGCTTTCGGTTCCTATGGCGTCAGGGCCTATAAATTAGCTAATATTGTACCCACAAACTCAAGTGATACCCAACAATGCTGGGCATAATTTGACATTTGAGCCCATTTTTTCGCACTCACCGCAGCTTCCTTCCTTTGGCGCCATTTGGGCCCTCGGACACCCAATCCAGCAGGTGTAGATGAGGCCATCATCGCAGGCTCTGCGGCGCAGGGATTGCTACATCGGAGAGGAGGCACACCAAGAGGCATTCTGGCCTGTACAAGACCCTCTCATCGCGCCAAGTGTGGTCACGCACAAATGCGTTGTTTCGTGTTTGTGTATGTGTGTGTGTGTGTGTGTGTGTTCGTGCGCTATTCTTTGGTGCAAACGTGTGCAAAAGACAGTTCTGCTAGTCACAGAGACGTTTTCGGCAAAAGCAGGCCAACTTGGGGCAGGCATGGAGGACGTGGTGAAGAGGAGTAAAAACTCAAGATTATTGGAGAGGAGGGTGAGCAGGGGGATGGGTCAGGGTGTGAAGGGAATCTGCCTCTGGAGTGTGTGTGTGTGTGTGTATGTTCAGAAAGACCATGTAAGGGGCTACATGTTTACTCCCCCTCCCTCTGACTTTAGTCGGGGAATCGCACGTGTACACATTTATGATGTTGCTCTGTGTGTCCGGATGCGAGTGTATATGATTGCGAAAGCAGATTTTCACACATACGGATACTAGCCGGACTGAAGGCCTAACAAGACAAACAAAACACAACTCTGCGGTGTAATCTATGCTAACGATTGTGAGGTGTGCCAGCGCTTATATGCTACCGGCTGTTATCAAGATGTGTATGTGCGAGTGTGTGTGTGTGTGTGTGGGTGCGGGTGTGGGTGTGGGTGTGTGTGCGATACTTAGAGATTGCCCGGTCAAGTGGACGAGACGATTTTGTCCCCAGGTTACTGGAGGCGCCTGTGCGTGCAGGAGACTATGCAGGTAGCTCTTGCGCTCGTGGAAACAGCTGCTGGTTGCTCCCGGATCCAACAGCTTCGTGTACTCCAATTGCTGTTGCCTCGCTCGGCCTCGGCTGGGCTCGAAACGTCAGACCCTCTCCGAGGCGTGTCCACAGTTCACCGGCCGAGTGGGTTTCCCAGAGGTCCTGCAGACGAAAGTGTGTGCCAATTAGCCGAAAGACCTCATCTCGTCTCTTTCCTTCACACCATCGCTAGCCTCCTGCAAGGAGCGAGAGGAGGCAAGGCTGTGAATCCCGTCGCCGAGATCCTCCGCCTTGACATTCTCGGACACGGTGCCAGTCTGCGCTACACACACGCTCGAGGAGATCTGCTTCCTGCGCCCTTGTACCTCCGTTCGCCTCGGATAGAGATCTCCGACAGGACTCGAACCTCCTCGGCTTAGCTGACCGATTGTCTGTCGCGACGGAGTGGAAATGGCGGTGGGCAAAGGCAAACGAAACAGGCCTGTTGGTCTGAGAAAGCCGGTGGCAAGAGGAAGAAGTGAAATTGTGTCTCGGGTCGGGAGGGGACGAGGACTTCGCATCGACGAGGAGGCTTTCGAGTTGCCAGATTGGAGGTCGACAACCACTTCGCCTCGATTCGGCGATTTCGGTGAGTCAGATTAAGGGACAACTTTGTTTTGACCATTTTTAAATGTCAACATTTTGCGAATTCTACTGAATTCACCTTCTTGTTTACTCACACAACTTTGTACTGTGTTAAGTGAATTGGAAATTAAAAGTGTCTCCTTCTGTGGGCGAGGCAAGTTAGCTGAGACTGTCAACTCCGGCCA